TGAGTGATCTCCTTTTTCCACTTTTATTTCTGCGATCATAGCCTAGTAGAAATCAGTTACGTACTTTTCCGTTATCCGGACCCATTTTTCCGAAGGTTCTCATGTAATAAGTTCTTTAGTCTAAGAATATTTTTTTCGTAGATTCTAAGAGAACTGCCTGTTTTCCACGTGTCACGAAAATTGACATGTTGTTTTCAAAATCATTTCCGCTGGGATAAATGACAATTTGTAATCATTTTAAAGTTGTTTAATTGTTTTACATAAGCACAAAACAATCATAAATTTTTTAGGACATCTTACTTGTTTTCAGGAGTGATTCAAGATTGTATTTCTTTTCAAACCTCTTTCGCCATGCAAATTTAGCCGAAAACTATAAATAATAGCTTAAAGTACCTTGCTGCTGCTCATTTCGCCTCTTAAATGGCGGAGTCCTAGCGCACTTCTCTATCATGAGCAAGTCTAATCTCTCATCGATGGTAGTATGTTGTTATTGCTATGAATGACAACGTTCAATTTGAAAGTGTTTGATCGAAATGAGGTCAAAATTGACTAAAAACAGACTAAACTTACATCGTTAGGTATGGTAACACGAACTTCTTGTAAAACCTGTTAAACATGTAGAAAACATGTCATCTTCTTTTAACACGTGGCAGAAGGTCACACTCCTTCCTGTAAAACTGGGACTAAACTGGAACAAGGATAGAAGCAATGTCTTTCTGAAAATGGGTGCGGATAACGGAGAAGTACTATTCATTTATGTCATTAGAAAGCACATAATTTATCTCTCTAATAGCATTGATCAGTGCCATACAAGACTATCGTGACAGGAAGAATTTACGATCAAATAGTGCAACAGAAGTTTGGGGCCTTTCAAGTTGGTGCTGAATTTCTCTAAGATAATCTTAGAAGAAAGGATTGACCTTAAAGGCAGCGGACAGGCAAAATGGACCCCTGTCAGATTTTGGTAGTTTCGGGTAGTGGACCCCCCAAGTACACCGTAGCCCCAACCCCACATTCCAATTCATGCGCTAAGTCTTGAAAAAAGCGCTTCAAAACTCCACCAGCCCCGCCCACTTCCATTAAGTAGGCGTTATTGGTGGAAGTTTGAAGCTTCTTTTCGGAACTTAGCACATGATTTGCAGGGTGAGGTTGGGACTATGGTGTACTTGGGGGGTCCACTACCCGAAACTACCAAAATCTGACAGGGGTCCATTTTGCCTGTCCACTGCCTTTAAGTCAGCTCGCGTAGATCGCTTGCGGTCATCATGAGAGATTAAAACTCGGATGTTCCATGATTTAGAATCCGAGTTTTACCCTTGAGTTCGTTCACTTATTGTACTTTTTTGGAGCCACGAACAGCTTCCATTCCGGAGAGAAACTTGAAATTCAGTCACTGCAAAAGAGTATCTTTTACTCAAACGACAAATCACTTTTTCGAATTCATGAGTGATACGAATCGATGCGTGAGAAAAGCATCAGAAATGTCGACTGGTTATGTTTTGACGAAAAAGAATGAGGAAGACAGCGAAGAAGTCAAAGAGTTTTTTGCATTAGACGGAGAAAAACAAATATCAAATGTTCAGAGCAACGTGTAATAGCATGTGATTCATTAGAATTCGTTAGCAATTAGGAAGAGGGGCTTTTGAAGAATCAAAAAAAAATTCTAGAACTAAAAAAATGGTTTAAGACACTCCTCGAGAAGCTTGCGTAAATAAACATTCTTGCTGTGCATATATAATAAAATGGAAATTATGTTCATCCATTGTGTGGTGAAAAATGCAAGGCAGATTGCTATAAGAGAAATTGCACAAATGAGTTTTACAGTTTGCTTAGCATGTTATCAGGTGAGAAACTGCCCGTGGATTGTTGTCGAAATGTGTAGTGGAAACCCTGCTTTGAACCTGTAGAATTTTGTGCAAAACGCGCCGCAGAATACCCTTGAAGAATTTTTTGCGCCAGCTTAGCAAAAAAAGGAGACTTTGAACAGCAACTTTAAAGCAAACAATAAATGACATTGGGAAAAAATTCATCGGAAGTCATGAAGATTCTGCCACTGAATATTTGTATCTAGATCTTTGTACTGTAATATTTTAACATTATTGATGGATTCCAAAGGACAAAAATATCTCTCCATTCGTCAAAGCGCCTAAGGGGTTAAATTAGACGTTATGCAGAATTAGCAGTAATTTTCATGATATGCACCGTTTTTTTAGGGCAAGAACGAACATTTAGAAGAGGGCAGAATTTCTCTTATGCACGCTCAGTGCAAAGCCATAAGGATTTTACCAGAAAGCACCAAGTAGTATCATCATATTTATGCCAGTATTCGCACTTGTACGAAAGCGTTATAGAATCCATGGGCAAAACGGCATTTAGACGGCTCAAAACCCTACAAGTTTGTAATTTACTGAAACAAAATTCAAAATTTTTTTGAACAGCAATAAAATTGTTGGTACCAAAACCAAGAATCGTGAGTAAGTGGGTAAATAAGTAATGCGCGATAAGGTGAAGTAGTGGCGATTGGCAGTCCTGCTTCGAAATGTTTGTCAATGTTTGGTAAAAGACCTAGCAACTTTTCGAACTTCAACAATGGAAGAAGTTATACAACTCTTTCTCTGCTTACGAACTCTGCAATCAAGCCTACACTCATTCAAACCAGTTGTGAATAGTGATCACGAACTCTCATTATGAATGAGGACAATCGAACTAAAAAAGATCTCGACTAATTCCGCGGGCGAAGTCATACTTCACGATTGTCAACTAATAATGTTTTGGATTCTCAGTCAATTGTTTGCGCCTCTGTTGTGTTTTCTCTGGCACTACCTGAAGTTGCATTGTTTGCCCTAAGATATGCCTATAGGTGGTGATCGACTTGTCAAAGTATTCGCCGAGCAAAATAGGGAACTCTCAACTATTGCCACGATTGGATCAAGTAGCCAAAATTCCTCAAGTTGGAAATCCTAAACGGAAGTTGAAAGCCCTTAAACTATACATTCTATTCTAAATGTCCAACGTTGCTACAAATTTTTCTCGCTATTGTTATGGTCCAAATCTGCGCAAATACCAATCAGCTCCAGTTCTGTGGATGACTATTTTTGAGATATTCTATATATCAAGTAGTCTCTCAAACGACAAAAAAAAAGTTGTCGTTCGAGACTACTTGGTATATAGGGTTTACCCCATATAGATACACAACAAGATGAAAACTCTATCATTAGGCTACATTGAGTCGCTGACTTTGAAAATGAAATTCGCACTTTGTTGTAGCCCTCTTTTTCATGAATTGAGCCTACAATAAGTAGAGCGCAGCAAGTCTTTTCAGTGTTTCATTGTGATAAACATTTATGCTCGAAAGTCTCGCAAAAATTATCTAGTGACTTTAATGTGTCTGACACTGCTACACAACGTTCCAGATTTATTTTGTAACTTTCCACAAACGGCCTATTTCACAATGGCGCTGAATACGGAAGTTCTCACTGTAATTTTACAGTAATCAAGATAGATTCGTTCCATACAGTAAATCCAAGATGAATCCTACTCCACCAAATCACGCTTGAGAGACTAAGCAGTAACTTTGTGGAAATAGAGTTATTAACTATGAAAAAGTAGGCTCTGCCAGCTTTTACTTTACTCAAGCATCTCCAACATTATAGTCATTGACTTCTCTAAGGATCAAGCAAGGGGTGTGGCACACGATCGCTGGTTACGACTGCCCCCCCCCCTGATTGCTGTCTTAATAAGACCCCCCCTGAACTGTACACTTAAGATAGCATTACTTGAAGGCCCTGTCAAACATAATGGGCAACATATCCATAATTAGCATGTCAAATAACCCCTGTAAACAAAGTGTGAGCGAATTCTGAAGATCCAAGGTACTAGTTTACCTAGGTGAAATGGTCAAATTCCAACACGGTTAACTATGTTACAAAGGTGAATTAGCTATCCATTTTTACACTCAAGACAAAGCACTACTCCTTCTTTGTCCACCTCAGGAATCCCGCTTCAGAAGACCTCCAAACTGTGGAATTAGAAGCCAACCAAAATCTCGTTTTTCCCATTTTTCGCTTTTGATCGCTGTGCTTTCACCAAATATTACTCAGAGCTAAGAAGACGAATCAAGCCTCAAACAGTCCTATGGAATCTACAAGGTTTAGGCTATCGATTCATATAAATACTGTCCGCTAAAATTGTTTTTTTTTTTGATATAGTTAATGGGGTGCGGCACACCCCCTTAAAAGCTGCGGCGGCCATGTTGGAATTTGACCATTTCACTTAGGTAGCCTATTATCTTGAATCTTCAGAATTCGCTCACACTTTGTCTACAGGCGTTATTTGACATGCTAATGGATAGGATACGAATATCATGTTATCACTATTATCAGATTACCCAAGTACGACCCCCTCCCCTTTTGACTCCTCAATACGACCCCCAGGTGTGGCGTGCCGCACCCACGCCTGACCCTGCTCCTCTACTTACGGAAAGTTGGTCCTGGTAGAACTCTTGTACAAATAATCATTATAAAACGACAAATTTTACTAGCACGATGTTTTTTACACGAAAGTGAGTTTGTGCACATATCTGGACTGTTTCACCTTTATTCCGTGATCAATACAAAGACTTGACCTGGAGAGCTTATTCTGAAGATTTTCTCGCAAGAACATTTTATTAGCTGACAAGTGTCTCCACCACGTGGAGAACATAGGTCTGCAATCTCGTCAGATTGGGGATTTCATTAAAAAACGATGTGTCTGAAAGTGCAAGAAAAGCGTTTTTTAATGGTAGAAATAATATTGCATTACGCGTGAAAATCTCCTAGAAGGATGCTCCAAACACAAGGCAAAAAATGGGACAGAATTAAAGCAGCAGCCTAGTACAATATTTGTATGCAAATTCGCCCGTTTTTTGGTTATCGCCATGCCACCAAAAGATTACTCACTATGACTCGAAGATCGCTTATTGTTGCATAGTTTTTGCTTCTATGTCTACAAAGGTCCAAAGAGAAACAGTAAACCACCTTCATTCAAGCAAACAACAACAACATCTATTCAAGCACATCCAACCAATAGCGAAATTCGTATAATCATAAAAGAGTTACATAAAAGTGAAAACCTTAATATGGCTTACTACAACAAAATTAACTTTTCAAACACCTGGAATAGTGAAGAGAAGCTTGAACAACATCTTTCTAGAAGTTAGATGAGATTGAAATATGTGAAAGTTGAAAAATTGATAAGGAGCACAACAAACTGAGACACACATCATAGACCTGTAATCATAGACCCTCTCTTCAGTACCCTGGTTGTAGAGTTCAACTTCAAGATAACAGAGAAGTTATTCAAAAGAGCAAAGCACAGAATTACATATGATAGGATCCAATACCGTTTGCCATGTTGACCTGGCCTGTAGCAATCGCTCTGGAAGAGTGTATTAACTGGGATGACATGAAGGAGGAGTAAGTTTGTAAAATAACCTATTCATATGATTCCATTCCTCGAAGACTCTATTCAGAATGCTGCACTGGTCTGCTGTGAAACCGAAATGGCTAAAAGTCTAAAACGCACATTCTTAGTCGTCTAAAGAAGCAAAATTTCATTCATTTTGTATTTCATTTTTTATTTCAATTTCAATTTATTATTATTTATTTTATTTTGTGAAGAAAGAGCATTCTATCCACATAATTTACTAGACTTATAAGGACCAGTATTCAGCTGTAGAGCTATTTCTGTGCAGGACTAGGGCGGAGCTTGCCGCGCGAGCTTGTAAGCCACGCACCTGCAGCGTATATCTCACAATTTTGTAAAAATCGTTCAGAGACCAGTGTCAAAATTCATGGACAGTTGGATATCTGCAGATGTTGGATGCAATTCAAATCTGAATGTCTTTTACCAATTTAAACTCACATCCTGTCTATAGATCCTCGAGAGATCGCCAAGCGTATAGATAGATTTACGCTCGAAAACATCAGAAAGCGAGCCGAGTCCTATCTCACTGCGATTCAGCCATCTGAATAAAATGCTCCGATGGCCACAAAGTAGCAGAAATGCTTACTCTTTGATGGTGGTATCAGGGGTAAGCGTGCGGAAGTCATCAGTGAAAATGTTTCCTCCTCTTGCCATTTCCAATTCCATCATGCGATCGAATCTGTCCTCATTCATGAGTACCCAGAGCAATTTGCGAAGCTTTCCTGCGTCTGTCAGCTAAATCTGTGGCCATTTTTGACAGGAAAGACAAGTGCTAAAATGGATTACATGGATCTCCCAGGAAGCACACATTTCATCTATATATCCACCATAGTTCGGGCGTTTTATTGATTCACCAATAAAACGACTGCCGCGTTTTCGCTGGAGATTGCCTCCTGAAAAAATTTGTTTCCAGTAGCCTATTAGATTTGACAGTTAATGTAGGCTTCTCATTCCATACAACTTTGCGCCTGAACCATGGCTATCTATGACCATTTTCTGCGAGCAGATAAGCAACTTGGTCGTATCACAATGATGGCGCTCGTTTTCGCGCAATTGTTGTCGTCACCGCAAGTGCACTTTATTAGTCATCAAGTCTACTAAAAGCGAATCTCACCACTATACATTGCATCGCGTAGCTCGAACCTTCCGTTCTCTTTCGAAGCATCACGTAAGGGATTTGCGCAGACTTTTAGGGCAATGTAGCACGAGTCAATCATCCTTCCATCTCTAAAATTCCACTATTGAATCTTAACCCCGTTAGACGTCTTAGAAAGCTTTACAGTTCTTCCAATATAAATGCCAGTTGCACAGGACGTCTGTTGATCCCACCAGAACAAGAACTGAAGCACGTGAACATGAATCCAGTTGTTTCACACATTGGAATACACACAGCATAAGCATCCTTAGCGCTTAGATATTCAGCATGTGGATGCTCGCATCGGACAAAGTGGTGCTTGTTTTCCGTATCTGGAATGAGTTTTGTATTCACACATCAATAAAAAGTGCTAGACCAAGTAATCATTTCATCCCTGTGTACCGAAAGTCATTTGTAACTTATTATGTGTACTGCACAAATGCGTGTTACTTTACAATTTCACCAGTTTCAGAAACTGTTGATTTTCTTTCTCCTTGTTTTCTTTGAACGAGTACGAGATAGAGTACAAATTCAGCAGTTTCTCCACTAGAAAAGCTTAACTAGTTAATACTAGCTTAACTAGTATTAACTAGTTGCTAGAAAGATGTCGTCGGTTGTCGCGCGCTGTGTGCAGGCTCACATATTAAATTGCAAATGACTCGCGCGCGAGTATAGAGTATACCTAAACTTGATACAATGTTTATGCGTTGCTGACAAAATCTTCGCGTAAACAGTAGAAACGGGCTTTCTGTGATCAATTTCCACGCGCAAGTCACACGCAAGTTGACAACATTCATAAGCGTAGCATTTGTTTTCGCGCCAATGTTGTCGTTACCGCAGGGCACTATATTGAAGGCAGTGTCCGGGCAAACACTCGATTTTGAGATTTTGTGCTTATACAGGTCTAGTAGCCATGCTGAATCCGAAAATCCATACTGGAAAGCGCGAAAACGGCAAGAAAGCAGCAGGAGGGAAACAGCAAGTAGGCGGGGTCCTCCCCACTGTGCATTCACGCTCCCACCTTCCGGAGCGGTCTTCTCGATTCCGCCAGCCGTCCTAACATCGCTCCCGGACAAGTGTGAATGATTGACTTGAAACCGGAAGCGAGAAGATCGCTTCGGAAACTGGGAGCGTGGATTCACAATGGGAAGGACCGCGCCCATCTGCTGATTTCCCTCCTGTGTTAGGCCGTTTTTGGCCGTTTTCGCGCTCTTCAACGTGCATTTTCCGATTCAGCGTAGCGAAAAGGCCCGGGTAAGCACAAAATCTCAAAATCGTTTTTGCCGAACACTACCTTTGACTATAAACTTTAATAAAATGTATTTTCTACTCACTGTCCTTGACAACATGATTTGGACAACGTTCAACAGGTTTGTTCGCATATCTGTCTTCTGTGTATTCGGGACGTATGCGAAGACGCATATTCGGATGACACTGTTCATGAAAACGGAACGTAAACGGGACGGAGGTGTCGGCCTTACAGTAGAGAGTGATCCCTTCGCCAGAGCTCAGCCGCTGAATGTACAAATAGTTTGTAAGATTCCGGCAACAGAAACAGAACGATTTTAACCAACCACATAGTCCAAGTTTTTAGATGACTTTGTTTGGGTAGATATGCCCACAGAGAAAAGTCGACCTCTGCTGAATATACAAAGTATTGGATTGAAGTCTGTTTTCTTTCTGTTAGCATACGCCTCTTCATTCCTGTTTTGGCGAAGACAGCTTTGAGAAGAAGACATGGTTAGCGAGCTACTTCGCTGAGATGGATGCATAACCTTCACGTCGTTAGGCCCGTTACCCTATAAAAATTAAAGATCTTCGTTTTTCTATAAAAGATTTAAGGTTATCCAAGTCTGCTTGAGTCTGAGCAGCGAAAATTTTGATCTCTTTATTTGCTCTTCTATCTTCTTGATCATGCCTGATGCTTGATCCCAGGCTCTTTGAGGGCATCAGATGTTAGCAAGACGCCCATAAATATTTTCGTTAGATTGGGGACCTACACAGAGAAAAGAATTTAAAGAGTGCATGGCAGAACCTCTAAAAATAGAAATGGTTCAACATTATATTGAAGGAAAGAAAAACGTATTTGGTTTCTTCTCTACACAATTGAAGTACGGCACAAGAGAGGATGGGTTAGTGGAACTGCAGAACTGGCATTTAAAAGGGTTATGTTAAATTCTGCAGTGACATTGTTCAGCAGTTTCATCATTTGAACTATACGAATAAAGATGACTGCTCAGAAGATTTTCTAGTCTCAATGAGCTCAAAGGTTGTCAATGCTCGTGACGTTTACTCATTAGGACAAAGTCTAAAGTGTACGATTCTGAATGTCGGTAGTATTAATTACTCATTACGAAATTTTGCATGTTTTTGGTGATTTGGCGTCGCCTCAAATCTCAATTACATTAGGAAAATTAGAAGTACAATGCAGTTTCGGAAAAAATATTACATTCAGAAATTTAAAAAAAATCATGTTCAGAAAGAAGAAATAAGCTAAGTACGTAGTTGTTGCCTCCATCTATCTTTCAAAATTTCACCCAAAATTTCTCATGCTGATTTTCGAAACTCAGAAACTCGGGTTGGACTGTGCTAGGTCTTCTTTTGCTGTTTGTATTAGGTTGGAAAGAAAATGTCGTTTTTTATAGCAGAGCATTGAGACGAAGCTAAAAATTATGTGTGGGATACCATTCGATAAAGCAGTTTAGAGCTTCAATTGCTTTATCGAATAGTATCCCACACATAATTTTACAAGATGACCTATAAACAATGAACCTGTTGAATTCGTGATTTATGCAAAGTTTAGAGCCAAAACATAAGAACAACTCGTAATGCCAAAAATCAGATTTTCGCCCAAAAAAATCTTACGAATTTCTCACCTGCTCCCACATGTAACAGGCACATACACTTATCCATGGGTACACTTGCTACTTTTTCATGCCTTGAAATTGAGAAAAACTTGAGAAAGAACAATGGCAAACTCCGCCCCCGGTAATTCTTAACTCCTCCCATGTATGCCGTTGTATGCTACAAACCTTCGAAACTTTGAGCATGATTTTGGCCTTGGATATGGCCTTCTTGAGAAATATCAATTTTAGCTGAAAAAAAACTGAAAAAAGCGACATTCTTTTATTTCCAGCCTAATACACTGGACGCTATTTCACATCGATTGACCCATTTTGGAACGGCGCCAGTATATCGCAGTGTAATCATTCGCTAGAGTTACGGTTGTAATGCGGTAAGTGACATATGTGTAGTGGTATAATAATTGAAAATAATTATCAGTGAGATAACCAGTTTTACTCAATCCTTTTTGAGCAATTTTAGCGGAACAACGGTGAATTTTTTTTCTTGTAACTAGTGTGAACAGGTCCCGTCTCGATCTTCTTGTTTATTTTCTACAAAAGTATCTGCTGAGATAATGTATGAGAATTCATTGCCTACCTGTAAGAAAGTTCGTTGAGTTTGTGTAGAATTTTGAGGCGTAATCAAACTTTGCTGGTCGTGCTCAAATGGCTTCGTGCGCGGTTCCGCCTGCGCCAGCTGAGTCGTACTATCCGCCTGGTAGTATTTTGAATTACTTGTGATGGTTTGAAAAAGCTGTCACAGCTACTAAAAACAGACAGAAAAGTAGTGTAGCACTCAGTAGTACGTACTCCACATCCGATTTACGTTCACAGCTTCCCGCCTCTCACAACTTGGGTGGTCGCTCAGCTGAACTTCGCCTATCGATCGACACGATCCAAGCAATGTGGGCGGTGGCTTGTGATCTTGTCGATCGACAGGTGAGATTTTTGTTCATTTTAGTCTGATGGAATTACTCCGTACTCGTAGAGGATATTCGTTGAACACACTGAAGATAATTAAGGTCGATTCCGATTTTCTTGCTTGACTTCAAAATGAAGATATCGTACTTGGGAGTTTCTTCATGCAAGGTGCAAAGGTATGGCTTGGCTACTGCTTTTTACAATAGAAGCGTTATAAAGCTCACAAAGATATTTCAGACTTTTCTTGTTCCTGAACAATACTTTTGGTCAAGTGGTTAAAAACTCTGCCATGTCACTTCTACTTTGTAAATGCATATTTTCGTAAAATATTCTTCTAAATCGAAGTTTCTTTGTCAGAAAGAAAATGAAGCTCATTGCTTGCTGTACAGCAGTGGCGGTTTCAAAATTTCTTTCGTTGAGGGTGGGGACGGGGTGGAAGGGCAGGTAGCGAGGGTATTTCGACCTTTCGGAAATTGCAAATTCAGAGTTTCAGGAAGGCACCGTGGCGAAAATCACGCCTTAAAGGCAGTGTCCAGGCAGAATCTCGACTTCTCTTTTTTTTTGTCTTATGCAAGCCTCTTCATGACGCTGATTCCAAATATGGCAGTCGAAATGTGAGAATTCCTCAAAAAGCCCATATTTGAGATAACTTTGTGAAAAACCTGGACGAGTGCTCACAATGCTGTCTTTGTCTAAAGCAAGCATTAACAGGTAGACACTATATGTTCGATTGTGTTTGCCACGTAAAAACACGTCAAGGCCTGAGAAGAGTTCGTTCAAGGACCGTCCCTCATTCTCTCGAACGTCCGCCCCCTTGAACGAACTCTCCTCAGCGCTTGACGTGTTTTCACGTGGCAAACAGGATGGTACACATAGTGTCTACCTGTTGATGCTTGCTTTCGACAAGAATGGCATTCGAAGCACTCGTCCACGGTTCTCACAAAATTGTCTCAAAAATGGGTTTTTTGAGGAATTCACGCATTTCGACTGCCATATTTGGAATCAGCGCCATGAAGAGGCTTGGATAAGGCGAAAAATGAGAAGTCGAGATTCTGCCTGGACGCTGCCTTTAATTTTCTTTGCAAAGCTAATCTAAACTCAAAGGCAGCGTTCAGGCAAAAATAAACTTTCCGATCACCACCTAGTGTAAAGGGGTCTAGGAGTAAGACATCTATGTTGGTCCGGTTCTTTGAAGTTGCCTGAAAGAAGAAAATGGACCTGCAATCCACAGGTAGCTACCAAGCCACGCCCTTCTGAAGCGTCCTGAAACGGCAGGACGCAATCAATGACAGGATACCAGTCATTAGCATGCGTCCTGACTGTTACCATGTCAGAACGAGTCAGGACGCATCAAGGTGCAATTTCTAGGTGGGCGTGGCTTGATAACTTCCGATGGATTGCAGAACCATTTTCTCATTTCAGAAGTCACTTTAGAAAAACGAAACAATGCAGATGCTTCACTTTTAGGGTCTGAGTGTGGACTACATAGTAATCTGGTACTATGTCTTTTAAATGGACTCTGCCTTTCAGTTTATTTGATTGTTTGCAAGTGAAATAAGTCACTCGCACAATTTTGCACCACTGCTGAGCATTTCAAAAATTCTGCGACATTGCCAAGCGGAAGTTCCCTTTTTCTCTCTGCAGCTGCTCTACACTTTTCAACCCTTCATGCGCCAAAGTTTGAGAAGAAAACTTGGAGATTCTCAAAGAACGACATGTTCAATGTTAGAACGTGGCCGTGGTTGTCGTAGACTTTGATATGAGGACGTATTTTTAGTGCTAAGGCTTATGCAAATTAAATTTTGAGCTATGTACTTGATTGATGTGTTTTTATGGCTAAAACAAGAAGCGCAAAAGCGTTTTTGTTCGCAGTGTAAAGCTTTTTCTCCAGCTCACTTGAACTCATACACTAAATTAGTTTCAATTTCATACTCCCTTAGTATAAACACGTCTCAATAATAATGGGAGACAGTGGCGATCCCCAGGATCTCTGTTTGAGGGGAGGGGGAGGAGCGGGAGGACAAAAAGTTTTTCCATTAACGAATTTTGTGGTGTTTTTCAAATTTGCATGACCACAACACCAAGTCGGGGAAAGGGCGTGGCTGCTCAAACTTTTTTACAAGATGAATTTGAATTTTCGAAGAAATTTCCAGAAAAGTTTGCTCATTTGCAAGTATGCACTATTCACTTGAACATTAGCTCATGTGATTTTCAACTATTCGCAGCCCATTCTGAGTGCCCCCCCCCTCTCGGTCCGCCACTGTGAGACACATATTGACAAGATTTCCCTGTCCATGTAATATGTAATAGATGCATTCATCGAACACACTTATCTCGCGAACAAACACAAGTGAAGTGCTTCCTGAATTGAAAACTTTTGGATTTTTAGTTTCAGTAAATCAAAACATTACCGTTTTATCCTTTCCTGCCGTGTTACGTGTAGCCTTCACGTTGTTGGCTGTCGAACGCGTCTGCATCGTATGTCGATGATGTCAAAATAGCAAATGAATGACGATTTTCGCCTCCAACCACTGACCAAATCTTGCCACGTATGGACACGTAGACACATCACGACTAACAAGTTAACAGCACTTGATTACTTGTTGTACATGTCTTAACGTTTAGTTGACATGTTCATACAAGTAAGCGCTCACCTTTTTGCCAGTAGCTGACAAGTCTGCACAAGTGCAAACTGACTGCTTAGGTTATGTAAAAAGAAAAAAAGAAAAAATCAATAAAATCAATGGAATTTTCATCAGTGAGTGTGGCACAATTCTTGCTTGGGGTACGATGTTTGTGAACCGAGCTACAAAAAACTGTATTACGAAAAATTAGATGTTTAGACTATAGAATGCGTAGCTTTTGCTGCTGCTTATCTAAGGTATACTTACCGTACCTTTATTGCACAGTATTCCTAGAACGGACTTAAGCGACTACAGCTGCGCCTAAGCTCCTTACTATGTGCTTGAAATTTTTCAAATTGCTTAAGCTTCATACAATTTCATAAATCGTACAACTCATCAGTTGCCGTGTTATTGTGTATTTACCACCTTCAACTTTGGGCCCCTGACAGACTTCACGCGATTTGATCGTCGCGATTGAATCGCGACAAGACAACTGTTACAACATCATTCCCATGCCAATCAACTTGCATTCAGTTGTGCTTTTCCAGCCCGAAACTTTTGAATGTAAAATGGAAATGAATGGAAATTGCGGCGATTGAGTCGCGACGATCAAATCGCGTGAAGTCTGTCCGGGGCCTTACCCCCCTCCCCCTGTGGCACCTCCACAGAAGAAATGCTATCAAATCATTAAGTAAATGGCCTTCTCGAATGTTAACCAGTTTGGCTATATAGTGTCGTTTTGTATGTCTGTATTTGTATGCACCTTAGGCCTCGGGCAGAGTTCACGCGATTTGATCGTCGCGATTGATCGCGGCAAGACAACTGTAACGATATCATTGCATGCCATTCTTCTTGCATATCGGTTGTGATAGTTTTCCAACACGACCAATCGAGACTACCTATCACAACCGCAATGCTAGTTGAGCGACTTGCTATGGACCCGTAACAGTTGTCTTGTTCGGAGAATCGCAAGACATTGAAATCGCATGATGTATGCGCGGTCCTTGAAGCTGACTTCTTTTCCTGAGTGAATCATATGAGCTGCCTCTTTGGCAATAGCCTAATCTAGACCTTCCCACCAGAATTCATGTAAGAAGTCCAAACACCCACATTTGCCTAAACTGTCTTTACTACGGGTTTCAAGCGTGGAATTGATATGAAAAACCATCGAGATTGGCTCGTACTAAAAAAATAAACGATAACATCTGGCGAGAAAAGTGTCCTTTTTATTGTATTTGTTCTCGGCTACAATCCAACAGTAAACTGTGTATAACAACAAGTCGGAAAAGACGGGACTAAGCACTTTTAGCGTTTTGGATACCTGGCTTGGCTTAGGGGATTTGCAGAAAACAGTTTCTATTTGGACTATGCCAAAACCCTCAGTCTGATTGTATTCAAAAAAATATGGGGTTGTAAAGGAACCCACCATAATTCAAATATCTCGGCATTTCTCTATACTATAGATAAAGTATGTGTAAAAAATTTACGGAAGAATATGAAGCTGTGACGTCTGCATGTAGGGACGATTGACATCCAAACGGTGGTTAAAGGCAGCGTCCGGGCAAATTTGGGCATTCTCGAATACTATCATAAACGAATATGACCTTAATCCAGAACTATCGTGCAAATCCGACTTTCGAACACCCCCTGTAAAACGAGAAAATCGGTGCAGAAAACGCCGAGTCTCGAGGACCACGCCCACTCTCTCACCCGGTCCGCCTTCTTGAACGAAATTCTTTCAGCCCTTGATGTGTTTTCACGTGGCAATCAACCACATAGTGTCTACCAATTGATGCTTGCTTTCGACAAGGATAGCATTGGGAGCACTCGCCCGCGGTTCTCACAAAATTATTTCAAAAATGGGGTTTGCTAAGGAATTCAAGCATTTTGAGTGCAACATTTGGAATCAGCGCCATGAAAAGGCTTGGATAAGGCAAAAAAATAGAAGTCGAGATTCTGCCTGGACGCTGCCTTCAACATGCAAGAAATGATATCCTAAGTTTAAGTGTGTCTTTAGGCTTTGGCCATACTTTACCCGTATTACCCGTGCTACCGGTGTTACTCATGCTACCCATCAGTCAGTGTTATTGCGTTTCAGAATGAGATATTGTGATCATTTCACTATTTAACAGCAATAAAAGCAATAACACGAAATAGAAAAAAAATCGAACCAACAGCTTGCAAAGACTTACAAACGAATTTTTTGGATCTTACTATTTCCCTTAGAGAAAGTAGCATTAAGTTTTCTATGTATAATAAAACCGATAATTATAACTTCAACGTTACTAGATATCCAAATTGGACGTCCAATATACCAAGATCTATCATATTCAATACACTTGCATCCGAAATAGTTAGAATCTATAGAAACTGCTCTGATTTTCTGGATTTCAAAAAGAGAATTTTTGAAATAGGAATGACCTCAGCAAGAAATGGTTGGGAAAGAAATAATTTTATTAGAGCATTATATCTTATCTTTCAAAATAGACCTTTTATTTTACGTAAATATGGATTTAGTACTAGTGTGCATTTGCCTCTTGTGCATGAGGTGCGGAATGCGTGGCCCATTACCAACTAAGATTATAATGGCGGGAAATAATTCTTTCAAATAGTATGAATCTTCGAAAGTACATCTGATAACAGTAAGACATGTTTGCTTCAATATCTCTTTACTACGTTTCATCATATCTCTTATGCCTTCACATAAGTTATGTTTTGGACACTTCCTTGGGAACTACTGATGAAAGTGTTTCGACACGGGGGCACCAAGGAAGGTCGCATATCTGGTCTAGTTCTTAGCCCCGAAACCAGTATGCGCAAAAACATTTATAGGTTCTATCTTTTCTTGTTATATTCTCTTTCTCTTTCTCTTTCCTTTTCTATCTTTAAAAGCTATATTGACACTTCGTTTTCATCTACGAGTAACACGAGTAACACTAGTAACACCGCTAACACGGTAACACGGATAAAGTATGTCCAAAGCCTTAAACATGTTTTCATCGTTTGAGTTTATTTTCTTATCATTGCCTTTCGAAAATTGAGAATGGTTCACTTTTGACAATGGGTGAAAACGTTCCGACTTCAAAAATAAATGGGCAGGAGTCGGTTGCTGGAACTGCTGGAGGTGCAGTATGCTTTGTTTGGACTTCATTGCTTTGCAACTAACGGGAAATATCTACAGGGTTTGCCCCAATAACGAAGAAAGAGGAAGATCACAAAGGTGACCTACTTGATTCAGAATTTATAGCAGAGTCCAAAGAGTTATACTTTTAGGACTTCTCAGAAGAACCAAGACTGCAAGTCCGGCCACCCTCTTAGGTGCAGATAAAACAAAGGAGGAAGGTTTGTTCTAGCTTTATGTTGATGCGACATCAGATGGCCTACATTGAAGCTGTTGCTACTCTAGCTGTGTTGAGCTGGGAGCCATCCTACAGACAGATGCGCTTCATGTGTGCAATAGCACAGTCTTCTACTTGAGAATTGCTTCCTTGCTCTAAGTACAAGGGGAGGGAATCTATGGGATTTGGCAGATCTGAGGGTTTCTCGGGTGAAGCACGTCCTAACCACTTGATCAAACGAGATCACTCCGCTTCTATGAACTCAAGTGATCGAAAGCTAAGACTGATGGCAGAAAAGCATTTGGTTGAAAAAGAAAACTGAGGCAGTTCTGTTGGCGTATACGTGAGCAGTGGCCGGGACATCGATCCTCAGATCATGTAACCATCACACACCTGAACAGAAGCGGTAAGGGCAGGAACAGGGTGACAACGGCAACATCAATGACAGCGATCGAGTACGGCTGAATCTTTGCTTGAGGGTAATCTACGAAACCTGGCACTGGCACTGTTCAGTCTCATGCTAACGCTAAAGTATCTTTATATTCGATATGCATTAATCTTGACCAAGAATAACGTTGTTTCAAGCGAAGTTGAGGATATTTAAGTTGCGAGCAGATCCTCTATATTCAGGATTGCGAACTTGAAACCTAGCGAGAAAAAAACTACGTCCAGCCAGTCAAAGCGCATTATTTTTCTGAACATACAAGCGATACATCACTCCTTTATTTAAAAAAATTGTTGTTTAACACGTTGACGACCGAGCCATTTTTGACCACCTCAAAATGGACTGATGATCTACGGCTGCGGTTTGGACTGTTTAACAGCTACCGCAATGCCGTGTGTTCTATACGACAACCAGGCCACCAGTATTATCACTGCATAGAAGTTACCTGAGAAATTTTCGTTTACACATGATAAATTGATGCACGAAAGTGCTACAAGGTGGTCAGGGCGTGCATACGCGCGGATACACACGGTCGTCAACGTGTTAAATAAGCTGCTAGGCAGATCAGAAAGCTGATAGGGAATATCATGTAGAGTTATATTGCCTCCAAATCCGTTAGGAAGCCACAAAGAGAAGAAAATTATAAATTTTGGTGCTACCGCTACCGTTTATGAGTACTTTGCAACGAAAAAGTTTGCCATTAAACAGCCTTCAATCGCGTCTCACATAGAGCAACTGAGAAGTTGGGCTACGCGAGTGTGTACTTTTGAAATTGCTATGCTTACACAATCACCGACCTAGGTATGCAGCATGATTCCAAATTCAGCGAAGGTTTTACCACAAATTTGGGTGTCCCATAATTTCTTACCGTTTTTACCCTAAACATTGGCATTTCGAGAGAAGTGGGCACCTTCAAAGTCTACAAATATATGGTCGTACTTTTATATGTATGGGCTATATTATCACGTGCGTGGAAGGAGCTCAGGATGGGGCGGAGTTTGCCATTTTATGTCCAGCCACGAAAAAATAGTACAGTTGGATGTCGATGTGTCAAGCATAGGCTAGGATGGGGAATTTGAGACATTTTGGGCGGAGATACGAATTTTGAAGAGTAAGGTCGTTTTTGACTGCTATCGCATTTCAGCTCAAGACTTCCATAGAAATGATTTGAGCGGATCTTTATAGCCTTGTAAAGCTTGTTTTGCCCTATCGAATGGTTACCCTAATTTGCTGTTTTTGCATATTGAATATCTTACTGAAAAAGGCTACAATATCTAGCTGCTACTTTTGAGATGATGTGTTCTTCTATATCGTCTTCGAACGATGATCCGGAATTTGGCTTGCAAATCTGCTGAATAGCAGCTCAGAGCAGTTATCAAAACGATTATAGACATTCTGAAGCACACTTACGGGAGATAGAGGCGTTACGCATCAGTTCACCAAACGCCACTCCGATATTGTATCCTTGAATCGAGTCTTTCAAACCATGTTCTTTTAGGTCACGATAAGAAGAAACGACAAAAAGCTAAAGGTGTGTGTTGCAAAATTCGAGGCTTACGTTTGAAAAATTGGAATATTTCATAGGTGATGCGCCAAAGCGAAGAGCTGTTGTTTATCATGATGAGGGACCTGGAAACAGTATGTATCTACTTCACTTCTTACTACGTTTCTGCACAAGTATCTTCTAGGATTTTCTGGTGATTATGGACACCGAGCTAGCAGTAGCACCGATGAATACCGTAAAGGTATTCGGTATTCGACTGGTGTCTCGTTCAAATGTTCAAGTCTGAATCATCCTTTAGGATCGACTTCCGATGAATACAAACGACGTCTTTATGACATGCGTGAGAAGTACATGGAAGAAAAAGCCAACGATGAAGGAGAATCACAAAAGCTAGATCGAATCCAATTTACAACGTTACAGACTCCATGACTGCTCTTTTCAGTCTCTACAAAATCTTGGCGGTGGTACTATCCTTAGTCATCCTCGTATTGCTCTTTATACTGTACTTCTATGTGAAGAAAACAGAAGACGACCGTCGCAAGTTGAGTTTTACAGATAATATATCTAGAGAACAGTGCGCAAGCTTTGTTTTTTTAGTTTTTGCAACCCCAATTCCCTTCTATGGAAACTCTACGCTATCAATTTGGGGTGATGACAGAGGTTTTCGATTGTTCGCTGCACATGAAGTAAGCAAACTCTATAAACAGAATCACTTCATAAATTCGCTTCTTTTGGATGGTAAAGTCTTGCCAACAATTTTCCATTTTTTCAGTCTAAGTTTTACCGTGCTTTTTTTACCCTGCTGCTATAAAACTAGTAGTAGTGATAGTGTTAATGTTATCAAGAGATGCTTTGAGTGCCTTTGGTCCGGCAAATACCACCTCGCCGATAAAGGCAGTATCCACGATTTTGAAACTGCAAGAAACTCGAGCACTACTTGGCCTTTCCATATGATCCGCCCCGAAAAACTCTGAGCCGGTGGCTAGAGGCGCTTTAACGAAAAAAGATTCTGAATCAGCGTTCAATGCTCTTCACGAAATTACAAATCATGTACTCTAATTTCACGAGTACAAGACGCATCTCTATTTATAATCGACTAAACACCCAAAAAATTTTGACGCTAAAGCATCTTCTAGGATCCTCAACTGAAAGAAGTGTGAGAGACGGATCATTTCGTGATGCACGGTGGGCGGCCTGCTCTAGAAAAAAGAAAAAGGTGCGTCTTGTACTCGTGATTTTAGAGTAAAAATGTCACTTTCTCCTGTTAGCACCTTCGTTTTCGACATATGGCTAGAGGAAGTGGTTGACTGGAAACTTCACCATTCTGTAGAAAGCTTTCCATAATAATTGCTCAAAAGGCACTGTCCAGGCTTAATCCATGCCCCTCCAATTAGGGTCGATCCTAAATGTAGCCCCCCCCCCCCCCCCCGAGAGGGGCATCTGCATTGGTCCTGTTCTCTAATGTCGCCTCTGAATGGAGATAAGGGGCCTGAACAGCCAAAGTGCTATCAGACTCCGCCCACCCGTGAACTGGAAGCCGCCCACGCCTCAAGAGAGGTTACCAGAAATCGTGTTTTTTGGAGGATTTGAGCTTCGTGACTGTAATTAGGCAAAAGGCTCTTGAATGGCAAAAACATGGAAGGCAAAATTTTGGGTGGACGCTGCCTCTAAAAAAACTTAAGTCGTGACTGTCACACGAATTCAACAAGAATTGCAGAGAAAGTCGCCAAGGAAAGTCAACTCACTTTCTCATTCACTCTGTTAAAACAGGCGTAACTTTTTCCTTTACTACCACTCTCAGAAATTTCCTTCAACGAATTACATATCATCGCCGCGAAATACCTGCGCAAAACTTGTAAGAAAATCAAAGCTTTGTTCTCATTTTGAAGTACTTTTCTTTAATAATACATGATTGAAAACATTGCTCTGACAACTTGATTATCGCTAATTCTTGAAATAATCGTTTTACAGACGTCGTTTCATACAAGGTGACACAGTGCATGATGTTGTTCGACAAGGTCTCATGTGTTTGTATGCATTAGCACCTCACACAATTCATGAGGAATCTTCTTTGCAAATGATCTTCGCACACATCCACACATATGAGGGAAAAGTGAGCCCCGCTTTTTGACTCAAAGAGATTTTTACGACATATTTCAGTTAGCATCAGCCCAAAAGTTAGAGCTGAACGACACATGTGTAAGATGGGAAACGCCATGCAGATTAGGGTAATTTAAACTTGACCGTTCATATAAGCTATGATTGAATACTCGAAAAAATGTGTTGTACATGCTCAAGCGGCTGACAAAAGACATTTTACTAGTTTCAGGTACATATTAGCTATACCGAAATTCGCACCCATTTTCCCAACTTCCAAGTACTCTCTCTCCTAACAAATGCCCCATTAAATCAATTTAAACAACTGATAAGTCTGTAGAGCATCGAAGAGAAGTTCCAGAGTTTTCTTGTAGTCGTTGATGGTTGAAGGACAACTTTGGCGTTAGTAACTATAGCCAGAAAAATATAGTAATAAAGCTAAAAGCTAAAAGATTTGAAGTTAAAAGATTTCACCCAAAAAATTAGAAACTACTCTGCGCTTTATAGATTTGTAATTCACAAATAGGAGCAGGCCAAAAATCCCATGCTCTTGAATTGTGAGTTAGCTTTTCCCTCAGAAACATTAGCTACGCAGTTTGGAGCGCGGAATTAAAATGCGAAAAATTCATAGTCAGTTATGTCCGTGATCAGGCACGGCATTGTTGCTCACTGGATAAGTACAAGAGAGTTCAGAGAAGCGCCAAACAAAGCAACGCAGAGGATTATCGGGTTTTTCCACATTTTTTAAATGAATGTTGATGGTTTGGTGGTCTTTGCTAGGCAAAGTTCATGTTTTTGGATGGAGTTTGACGATGTAAATAAATCTCTTGACCCTCCGTTTTGAAGGTTGCTTTATGGCGACGGTAGAGGACTGTATGTTGAAAAAAGGGGAGATCCCACGCGGATATTTGCGACAAATGCGCAGTTCCTTCGTGTATTGAAAGGTATATATTAGGTGGGTCCGAAATCGTGCCGTTCTTTAGACCTGTTTTAAAATCGTTTTATACGAAAATAGATGAATCTTTTGATGCGATGCAAAATTTCTTTCCCTTTCCAGCAGCTGTGTCCGCTTTGAAAAGAACTGAGATAATTGCTGAAAACTAGAACCCTTCATTTTTACCATTTCTAACTTTCGCTAGTTTTTAGAATTTTCATTTAAAACCTTCGTAGGTGCTCTTAGAAACACCTAATAAAGCAAACCTTTTTCAAATTAATGCAATTTTCTTTATTTTTTCAGCCTCCTTTTTAGAATTTTGCTGAATTATTCTACCAGAGCATTGAATTTTGAAAAAGTCGCGTATCACATAATTGCATCAAACACTGCGAAATTTTTAAAATAGTAAAGTTCTTAAACTCGGTTTTTACTATCACTAGTATTACTTAGTAAATGAGCTAGTATGGCGTGAAAATGCATAGATTTTCGAATTTCGCCTACAACCTTGCGCACCCGTAAAATTGGGAAGTTCAGCGATTTTGTCCGCAAAAACCACATGTTTCGCGAAGAAAAGGTTGCTGTCAGAAAAAGAGGAGAAAAAGATGCATGGAATGGTACTAAACTGTTCAAATTCTGATGTTTTGCGAGGTTAGAATGAGCCAAATATCAAATTTAATCACTTCAAAAAATATACTTTAGTAATTCCACAAAGCCTGCTAAAGAGATGCAAAGAATTTGATTTGCAAGATGTTCGCCCTGTCAGGTGGTTATTAGATCACCTTCAAAAGACTAAAATGAAAATTTTTGAACTAGCGAAAGTTGAACATGGTAAAAATGCAGGGTTCTAGTTTTCGGCAGCTGTCTCAGCTCTCGTCGAAACGGATACAACGGAAACACAGCTGTTGGAAAGAGGAAGAAATTCTGCATCAGATACTCTTCAAACGATTTGTCTATTTTCGTATAAACGATTTTAGAATAGGTCTAAGAAACGGCACGAACTTTCGGACCCACCTAATATATTGCAGATGTATCGCAGATGTCCGCGCAAATCGCTTCTTTCGATGGCATATGACCTTCTACCCTCAGAAAGCGATACGAGAACTCGTAAGCCTTGCCGGATGACTGTAGCATACTGTCGTGCAAAACGGCCGTCTCTCTGTGACACTACATGACCTACAACCTCGTACGCCTCAATCAAGTATTCTCATTTCAGGGAAGTATGGAATCTGTTCAGCGGATACGGTTACTCCGCAGGAAAACTTGCTGATTCGCTGTTATCCAGTGTGTGGTTGGAACCGAAAAAAGTGGATACCGATTATCATGCAGCGATCTGGTCGCGTTCCCTTTGGGTAAGATTACGGTCAAGTCGCATGGAATGTTCAACTTTGACTGTTGATTTTATTCTCATTGATGTTTTTAAGGATAATGTGACATACGGTTACGGTTCTGGAAAAATGAAGCCCAGAAAGTTCCGGTTACACCATCTTTTACTAAGAATAGCGAAACAAACACGCCGTTTCAAAAAGCTGTTGTCAAATTGGCAGAAAAGATTTCCAAATATGTAGTTCTACAGATACACTTTTACAAACAAAATCTTTATCTCTTTTTCAGAAATATCTCGACAATGTCAACACGTGATACGATAACCATAACAGAGGACGAAGCTAACTTAGCAGCCTCAATCTTTGCGAGTAATCGAGCTAAAAAAAGCCGTGAGTATCAGTGGCGTACCGAGGGGGGGGGGTGGGCCCCCCCCCCCCCGAGAATGGGTCGCGAAATTTTTGAAAGTTACTTAAATGTGTTATAAAAATGTGCAGAGGACTTGTTTTTACGGGTCAGGGGCCCGGAAAAATTTTGGGAAACATCTCAAAAAATTTTTTGGAGTGCGTGGCTGACGCCACGCACCTTCATTAGAAAAAATTTTTTGTCGCGCCCCCCCCTCCTGGGTACGCCACTGGTGAGTATGAGTCTGGCTAGCTTTTAACATTTGTTATGGAATCGGGGTAAACTTTTACCCTCGCTTTTAGCTCTCCGCAAAGATAGGATAGTGCATGTTCCACTTACAAGTGATGAGGACATAAAATATAGCCTGGAACTCATATACTCAAAATCCACAGAAGCTCCTACTCTATCATTCATGGCAGCTTTCCTTATCAAAGTTGTCTATAGTAAGTTCTCAAATGCCTTATATATGCGCGAGAAGTAACACACTAATAATGAGTATACGCACTAAGCCAAATTTTATTCTGCCTTCGAAGCAGATATCATGCTGATATTAAGCCACTGCTATAGATTTTACATCCACAGTTTGTGTGGCATGTTCAACCTTTTGCAATGTTCTTTCTTCATTTCTCCAACCATGTAGAGGCAGCTCCAACTAATATCAAACACTTGGAAACCGAGGGAGAGGCAGGGCATCTTCTCTCTTCAAAATGATTGACAATGTTTTCGGAATTTGTCTGAATTACTTAGCAAATTTGCAAGTGACTTGCTTTCGCTTGTAAAAAATTGAATCAGTCTAAATTTCTTTGAACTCAGATTGCCTTGTAAAAAAATTCTTCGTGGTGAAGTTTGTAGGAATATAGGCCCGCACCATTACTGGCGAGCAACCCAAAAGTGCCTCCGAAGGAGGATACGGCTAAAGTCAGCCCGCTCATTTGATAATATTGTATGTCGTCCTTTCTCTCCCCGCTGACAAAAAAAAGTTTCTCTTACTGCCACTGGACTTTGGAGATCGCTACGGTTCACAATGAGAGAAAGTTGAGTTATTTAACTTTATTAGAGTTCCATTGACTCACAACACTAATCGGCAATGAATTCGCGAGGTACGAAATATAATTGAGGCAGTATAAATAGACTATGATTTGCTTCACAGTACCTCAGATTTAATCAACAGAAATTAGAACAGGTAGCTGGATTCTTTCATCTCTAGCAACCTTCAGCGGCTTTTCTCAAAGTGCAACCAGAAGAGAAAGTAGATACAATTGCACTGATGACGCTCAATGCTCAAAGAATAGCCTTGCAAATGCTTAGAAGAACACGACATTGGACTGGTAATCCCAAGGTGCTTTCTCATTATGAAACGCTCGTTATGTAGCAAAATTTGCGTTTAGGACCCCTACTTGATGAACCTGTGCAATTTGGCAGTGGATCAGATCATCAAACAGACGTATGACAAAAGTCCTATTGGGGTCAGAAGAGTGAGTTACTTTCTATGTGTCCGCGTACCTGGAGCATGTTCACAGTCCCGCTCGGAGGGTGCATGGGTTGATCTTCTAAAAGCTACCGTAATCGTTTTGAATTACGAGGCACGCCCCGTGACTGTGCCTTTGAAAATAGCCCATCCTCTTTCGTAGAGCCGCGCCCGCATGGCGCGATCTTCGTTTCGGTACCAACAAAGCCGGAAAATAGCGCATCCTGCTTGGAGAAACAGCAGTCATCACCAGCAGAATCAAAGGTGAGCATTTCAAGGCTCGCAGTGACGTTCGTGTGGAGTGCTCACACACCACTTGGCCTAACACACGTCAATTGCAATAGCTGATGATCGCGTAATCGGGCGAGTCCCTCTTTGTATATTTTTGCTACTATTCACATTGCAAGAAAAGTGAGCCCATCTCGATTTTTTTTCAAAAAAATCGTGTTTTGGTATTCTACCTAATCCCCCGCTTTGATCCGACGCCTCGATGTAGCGTGTTTTTAGCCAGAGTGTCGAAGCAAGGCATGGTAGAATGTTCACTTTGGCAGAGTCCCCCAATGTGGGTATAAGTTAGGCGTTTTCCATTAGCCGGATGAATAGCTAGAAGTGGATAAGGCCAGATCCGCGTTCGGCGTGGCAATTCTGCTCTAGTTACGCAAAAAGAAAAGAATGAAACCTTGCACGTCTGTTCTCACCTACGAAGACGCCTAATAGGAAAAGACAGGTTCGGGCCGCCTTTCGAACCGGACAAAGACACATCTACCTGGACGACCCGCCATGGAGACTACCTCATGCTCCGCACCTGCAACTCGGACAGTCTCCATTCAAGGTGAATCCACCCTCTCCTCGACACTGTACATCAAGTTCCACGTCACTGCTCTGCAGGAAATGAAATTAGGAAGAAGGATGCGACGGTTGCATAATGCTACTCTCATCATTCGTAAGAAAGTTTTATCGCAAAGATTTGGAGGGCTTTGCAGACCCCCATCTGTAATCCATCTTGTCAATTCGCTTGGAATTCTTCCCTCGACTATCCATCTTACGACTATGTCCTCCACGTCAGAACACCATCAGTATCATTAACTCTAATTTCCAACATCAGGATTGACGAAACAGAACACTTTCTGCGAAGAGTGGAGAAGGTCGTCCGCACCGAGGTGCAGTTCTACAAGTTTTTTGGCGACTTCAGGCGAAACTCACGAGGCCAATAGTAGAGAAATAAAGGATTGGAAAGTTTGGATTTAGGCTTCGGAACGGAAAGGGCAACCGTCTTGTTGAGTGTATCTCGGTCGCAGGACTTCCACGAAGATTCATCTTCATGGAGAAAGAACAATGCCTGGACATGAGAATTGCGGTGGCTTCGATCACCGATTTTTTCGAGCGACGGTAGGTTCTCTCGCAAAGAGGGTCTGCAACAGTGTCGTAAAAAGGAAGGAAGTTGTATGTGACAGCACATGTTTGAGAAGTTCACATCAAGTTGTGACTGGCACATCGAGGAGGGTCTAATGAACGACCAGCTCTGAAAAAATTCGAGCCTGCAGAGAGTTGGGACGAATCTCGATACATTCAAGGAGTTGCTTGAAAAAATCACTAAGGCAGGATCCGAATGCAACCATTTTGAACGACTAATAGCCAACGGCATTTGCAGAACAGATTTAGAAGTGGATTTTCGGAAGGATATACAACCCAAGATAACATGAGGTGGTGCGAAGAACTACATCAACCGGTCATCAACGCCTGTGCCGATGAACACCGGTCCCATTGAAAAAGAACCAGCATGCTCAAAATGCTAAAGTGCGCAACGCGATTTAAAGCATATAGGCTCAGTAGCTCCACGACCAAATGATCTTTACGTCAAACTTCCGCAGGAAGCGGGGCAACCTCTACACGAGATTTTGCGTCGTCGTCAGTTAAAGACCTTCCCTTTGGAAGGATAAAGATTTACTAGTGGCTGAACTTCAGGAACTGTCCACCTTATCAAGGAGGGCAAGCTGAAGGCTCTTCGGATTACCGTCATACTATGCCTGCTGACCTTCAAGCTTTTAAACAGAATACCTGAGGACTTAAAACGCATTTACATTTTATTTCAGAACGCGACAAATGAACGAGTCTCTTCGATCTTGATGTGGATAGCAAATAAACATGTGAATTCCGCACTAATCATGGAGATGTCACTGCCGCATGTGTACGTTGGTAACTTTTTGATAGAAATGGAAGTTAAAATTAGTTTCAAAATGTTGCAATCAATAACATGATAGAAGGATAGTCATATGCTCGATTCTTTACGAATGTCGATATAATGCCAATCTATATCATGTCTTTTTGCATGAAATTTAAGAAAATAGCAATCTTACAAGCTAAAATTTCCCCTTTCGAGCCCCTTTGAAGTGACTGTAACTACCCGAGTAATAGATCAAACAAAATTTGCTGAATCTACAAAACCAAGAAAGGAAATTCAAAGACTAGCACTGATCTGACATGCAGATTTGACCCAACTGGTGGTGGAACAAAACGATTAGAATATTCCTCCTTTGTGGACAAAGATGGAGCAAGGTCCCCTCCGTTCTTGCCTTCAGCGGGTATTGTGGTAGTGAGCAATTTTCACAACAAATCGCGGGTATGTCCAGAGTTGCAAGTTATATACTCCACAAGATGTTTTTTCTGATTTAGCCAATCATAGCCGCCACAGCGTCGGGCAGAGAAAGATTAGTAGAAGGTGTAGCAAATACGGTTCTACGCTTGTTACTTATAAATGAAGGAGCCGGAATGGCCGTCAAGCCTATAGATGCGTACCTAGATGCAAGCGATGGCTTGACACATTGTTCAGAAGAGGTAAGATTTCTATTATACTGTCTAGTGCAAAGACAATATCCGCAATCTAGGTAATGCATGCAATTTTTCTGCTCAAACACTTCTTGATATTCTAACTAAACTCTTTGCGGTACCCTGTCAGGTGTAAAAGTTCACCCTATTTGCTCGGTAGGGGAACGAACTTCACTATTTTGAGCCTACAAAGCCTCCGCGGGCTACAGTGCTCAAATGACATGCGGTATCGTCGCAAAGTATAGTAAGTTTCAACTCAATTTAAGCGGACATTGGACTCGCGGAAGTCCGCCTCGCATCGATTCACGCCGCTTTGCAGTTTGCGTCTCTTCATTCTAGTCTACCATGTTGTACCAGTGGCGGTGCAGATGCGCTGCACCGCTTGGAATGTTTCACCTACTCCGGGTTGAAAAGACTGTACATCTTGTCTGCGTAGGCGGCTCAGAATAGTTGAGTTCGTTCTCGCAATCCGTTTGCTCTAAACGTGAGAAGACCCAGGCGTATCGCCGCGCATGTGCTCGCAAAGCGATCGCTCTCTCCTGCAATTTTCGTACCTAAGTTAACGCAACCCATGGATCCCACGCGGATTTCGAGCGTTTGCCTTTAGCAGTCGGTGCGGCTTGTACACTTGAAAAGGAAGATTTTGGATGAGTTTCCAGTTTGTTCTAAAGCCAAGTCCGATCGTCAGCGCTGTAGATTACCTATGGGCTCCTTATCAGGTGGAAGTGGTGCTAAATCAAAGATGATTGCTAGTCTCAAAACTGCATTTCTTATTATGCAACACTTTTCACCAAGTTACAAGTTTAGCCATGGCCACCAGCATTGGTGCGTAACATTGCAGTCTTGGCATACGACGGTCATGTGGCTCAGCGTTAGTGTGCTCGTTTAGTGCACAGAAAAACATGTGCAGAACCTTTCACTAAAAGTTTTTACGTTTTATTTCGACTCCACAACATCTTTCACTGATGCGTTCCGTTCCGCAAATGCCAGTTCTCAGATTTACATTTGATATCACCACCAAAGCTCATTTAAAATCCACTTCGAGTAAAAATGATTTTTTCGTTAGTTAGAGTGCAGTTTACAGCCAAAATAGGAATTACAAGTTGTTTTTATTCCGAAATAAGACTCTAAGTTGGCCATTGCGTGAACGCAGAATCACGCCAAGCCAACGCGAGATTCTACTGGCTCAAGGCCGAATGCTGGCTTAGCGGCCAACTCACAAACATTGTAGAAAGTGTGCATTTGATGATTTGTGGGCCTTTTATGGTTCAAAAACAACCACAATCAGTATTCCAATAATGCACGGCTTTTAGATGGCACCGAGTTAGCGTTTTCAAAGCATCTTTCTCGCCTCAGAAGCTACATGGTGCAGGTTTTGGGATTGCTTAGATTGAAGACCTATCACTTTTATTCCATACACCATGACCAGACCAGTGTTCCAAACTTGAGCAAAGTGGCACTTTTTTAGCTATACAACAGACTCAAGAAATGGTTTAACTTTGCCTGTGATACGACTGTCATAACCCGGCCGGAACGAAGAGTTATGGCTTTCGAGGCCGTCAAAAATGCTCCGTATGCTACGATGGCAATGAGTCAAGAATACGGTTACGCATATGCGCCTGGATTCTAAAATTCTGCCATTGTCTCTCACTAAAACATTAATTGTAATTACGAATGTTTGCGAAAGTAGATACTTCTGGTAAAGCAATTTATTTTCTGTATAAAGAGTTTTGTTTATTACACAAACAAACCTCAGCCAACAGAGCAGAAGTTCGCAGTCATCAGACAATATTCATGATCGCTCAGATCTCGTACTAAATGTACATTGATTTTGCATCATACTAATTTGATAACGGGTATGAAATCCGAACAGCTTGATGTAAACCAGAGCTTTCCAAGCTCTCAATGGAAACAGATTAGATGAACAACAAATGATCAATTACGAGTAGTATAGGATGTCCCAAAATATATAAACACTGTTTGATGGATATCTCTCTTCTCAGGTCTTTTGCCCACCTTCAGTGCCAATGCACAAAGCCGACTTCAACTTACAAGGGAAGCTACCTAACTTAGCTCGGGCGTTTTGGCAAGTGACATATATAGTCTGAATCAGCTTCAAACGCTGATACCAAATGTGCTATTCTAGCTGCCATGCACCATCCCGAAGTGAGTTATGGGCTTTTTCCTGCGCAAAATTGGCATGCCCATCGACTCAGGGGAATCACGTCGTCATCATTTGAGTGCTGAACCTGCGTTAAACTTTTTTTAGTGAAGAAAGATTGGACTTATACTATTTTGGTACCTCAGCACCTTTTTCTTGCAGATTCCTACCTACAGGCAGTCTTTTCATGTTCAGTAGTACGCCAATTTTGCGTAGGAAAAAGCCCATCACTCGCTTCGAAATGGCGCGTGGCAGCTAGAAATAGCATATTTGGAGTCAGCGTTTGAAGCTGATTAAGAATATATATGCCTTTAACCAAAGGCCGAGCTAATTTGGGTAGCTTTCCTTATTAGATTTACAGTATGGAGCGAATCACCGATCTATCTACATTACTGCAGGGTTACGGTAGGAACTTCAAAAAGGGTTTTGAGTCATTGTAAGCCCTATCTCGCTACAGAAAGCAAACCAAACAATCTGAAGGGCTTTACACTAGGTTGATCAGAGCTGCTGAAACTAAATATGAAAATATGAACTTTACACTTTACCTTAATGCTTCCTTCATAAATTATTAGGTTGTCAAGAAAATAATGTCCGTTTTTATTTGTTTGCTTTAACAAAGCAACCAGACTCAACCCAACAAAGGGTAAGGGGTACTGTTCGATAGAGCAAAGCAAGCTCTACAAGATGGCACTCATGTCTTTGCGCCATGCTCGATCCACGGAGAGTTCGAACTCAAAATCTAAGGATTTCCAAATGCTCAAAAAATCGAAAAAAATCAGATCTTCGTCCAGATAATTTCTACGGACCTCCCACTCGCTCACATCAATACTATCGATATCAAATATCCATATGTGCAATTGCCGTATTTTTTCTTGATTAGAAACTTAGAAAACGAAAATTGCCCTGATTTTCTCAAAGCAATGCTGAGCCGTTTTTGCGTATGTACAAAAAAAATTTTTTTTCTATACTACAGCCTAGGTAAGCATAACTGTAGGTTTTCAGCCTATTTCGAGCGGTACTTTTCGAGAAATGTCGATTTTAGCACTGAAACTGAAACGAAAAAATCCGAATTCGCTATTTTTCGAAAACTACCGCTTGGAATGGGCTGAAAATCTACAGTTATACTTACCTAGGCTTGTAGTATAGAACTACCTTGCAGAAACGGCTCAGCATTGCTTTGAAAAATCAGGAAAATTTTCGTTTTCTCAGTTTCTAGTCAAGGAAAAAATACGGCAATCGCACATATGGATATCAGGGCCGGTAGTAATCCCCCTGACCTGGCGGCATGTATCGCCGTCAGGTCGGCGTCATCTTTACGTGAAGTCGGCGCGAACTCCGACCTCAAGTCTGTGCCCTTCCAACCCTTTTCACCATGTATTTTTGGTGGAGGAGGTCATAGTGACCTTAAAGAACATTAGCTGGCAGCTGAGGGTGCTAAAAACCTCCCTAAACAGATTTGTAGAGGAAGGCAGGAGGTGCTGGCGGCAACTTCGCGAACTGACCTGGCGGCATCTCGTCGAAATTCCAGCGCTGAGAGATGCCGCCAGGTCAGAGAGCACGAAAAATAGCGTGCTCGTTTGCGAGATCACGGTGCCACCATCCCGACGTGCCCCTACCATGTCGAGGTGGTGGCACCTTGCTGGCGGCGTCTGTGAGTTTGCGAATTGCGGATCTCGCACAATTTACGTCAGGCAAAAAAATCAAAAAAATTATGCTTTCCATCAAAAAACTATCATTTTTCTTATTATTTGAGTTTTTCTTTTTTAATTCGACGATTTTCTTAGAGAGTAAAAATCTAGTAATGCCTCAAAACCATAAAGAACACCATTTTTTGGCAGTCCCTTCTAAATCCCCTCTGCACCGATTTCGCCCCTCTCTCGCCCATATCAATCAGCTGTTCTTTCAGGTCAAAGTCTCTCACGCAGTGTATTGATCCCTCTTACAGGCGGCCATTTACCGGTGCGTTCCTCCTATTGCTGGTGCAGTCGGTAGTGATTGACCGAATGGTCGAATGGTTAACGTGGTGGCACTTGATGTTAACACACTTAGGTTCGAACGCGCGCGAGGTAGCAGTTTTGCGGCTGTCTGTGTCATCAAAATTTAGTGTGCGAAATGATTGCGTTTTATTAAGCTTAAATAAGATTACCAAAACCTACAATTACTCCGCGAGCTGCCGCCGAAGATGGCAACTTTCCGTGATGCGTGCCAACTTGGCGGCATCTTTGATGCCGCCAAGTAGGGTAAATTATTACCGGCCCAGATATCGATAGTATCGATGTGAGCGAGTGGGAGGTCCGCAGAAATTATTTGGACGAAGATCTGATTTTCGATTTTTTGGGCATTTGGAAATCTTTAGATTTTGAATCGAACTCTCCGTGGATCGAGCATGGCGCAAAGACATGAGTGTCACCTTGTAGAGCTTGCTTTGCTCTATCGAACAGTACCCCTTACCCTTTGTTGGGTTGAGTCTGGTTGCTTTGTTAAAGCAAACAAATAAAAACGGACATTATTTTCTTGACAGCCTAATATATGCTAGGTAAAACAAAAAACTGTTTTGCAATGCTTCCTAAAATTTTGGTTGAGTATTGAAATCAGCGCGCTTAAATACCCTGGTACACCTTTTTAGATTTTTTAGGAACTTTTCAAAAATGCTACAAATTCACAATGACGCTGTAAGCAAAAATATTTTATGATAATCCTACAATAAGTATCGGTGTCGCGGATTGCGCGAATTCTTCAAGGAGTCCGCTGCTCGTGCGCGAAGGGGTCCTAAAACGCCAGTCCCTGCACGCTGCCACGCCCTCTCAGATAATCGCCGGGGGTAGGCGGCCATGCGAATTTTGAGCAAGCGGGCACCGGAATTATAGTTCGCTGAATTCTTGTGCCCGTTTGCAGAAATTTGGAATGATTCTGGCCAATTTTTGGACGAGCGCTCGGAGAACTATCGCAATCTTTCTATGGATAAGTTGCGAACCAGTGGCAGCATTCTTGCGGACTTTCCGCGGGAATATGCAAAATTGTTGGGAGCCGCACGGTCCTTTGTGAAGGACCACACTGCCCAAGGTACCTTCCGCAGAAGGTACCCCAATCTCGGGTAATCAAACCATCAGTGACGCCTCTGCCACATAGAGTCTCATCTTGCTCAGCGTACGCCCGAAACTGAGTAAAAAAATCTGAGCGCTTGCTGAAAGTTTGACCAGCGCTCGCTGAAGTAAATTTTTTGCCGAGCGCTTGCAGAAAATGCTGTATTGCTGCCCGCTGGCAGAATATGCGACCACAAAGAAAGTGCCGCCCGCTGAAGGTGTGGCCAGGCCCCAAAATTCTGCTGAACGCCTGCAGAAAAGCGCGAGTTTGCGGACCGCCTGCCCCCGGCGATTATCTGAAGCTATTTATCAATCTTCTGTTTAGGAAGGGGTCCCCTACAGGTAACAGCCCGTACAGGCGCGGGCACTGGCGCCCGCGATATATGAAGCAAAGCTGGTGACCGGGCTCACATCGGTGAAGATATGGTCCGATTTGGCAATTTTCGCCATGTCGGGCGTCGGACAGCAGTTCCCCATCTCGACGCGTCGAGTGCGCTGCCCATTTGGGCCGCTCTTCCCAGACTTTGATAAATCGAGGGAAGGGGCTCTTGCCTGTGCGGGCTCTCGTTAACAGTGGCCCGCACAGCGATTGGGAGATTGATAAATACCGCCCCTGAGCTCTTGGTCGCATACTTATACCGTAGCTTACGTTCAAAAAGTCACGTACCCCTCATGTGTCTACTCGCGAGCGGCCGGCTACCACTCAAGTTCCGCCATCGATCGATCAAACAGCACATTCTCTTCAACTCATGCGAACAACACCACCACGCATGGAGGACTGGCTCGTCGCCTCGATTAATCCGGATGAGTGTTTCTTACTTGCCACACAGCAGGGGAGCACCCGCGGGGGGGGGGGGTGTTCCTGCCCCTAGGTAACATCTTGGCTGCCGTGCTCTCAGCCCATTGTGTTGAATTGTTTATGTGTTGGCTGAAGTTCTGAATAAATGCTGGGCACTTGAGAGCCGTAGTGTATTGACTAAAGTGTTGGGCTTTGGGCTTAGCTAGCCTAAGAAAATCGGTGTGCTGATTTTGTTCGTTGTGTACTTGATGTCCCGGAAGGTTCCATAAGATGGAGGATTGGCATGATACTAGTTAAGTGCCCAAGTCACTAACGAACCACAACCGTCTACAATGATTAGGATGGCTTGAGATAGTTGGCCCTTGAGATTAGGGGATGTGTTGGTAGCCTAGGGCCTCTAAGATGTTTAGTGTATCCGTGTTGTGGCAATCCATAAGAGCGTGGCGCAAGCTAGCTACCTTTCCCCGCGTGTCATTGCTTCATTTCACGGATGGAGTCCTCAGCTCCTGTCGCCGATGCAGGAGAGTTCTTTACCACTTACGTCTGGAGCTGGGGCCCAATCCGCGACAATTGGTAATTCGCTCCACACTTTACTATGTTGAAGCCAGCTCTGCGGTTCTACCTAATGGTAGGTGTGCATCCCCCAAATTTGCTTTCATAGGTATCTACCATTAGCGTGG